AGTTACCTGAGCAATTCAATGAAGAAAAGAGTTTTTCAACAACAGATGCTGGGAAATTTGGACATTCACATGAAAATGAAAAAAGATAAACCTTGACTCGACATCATAAGTTAGTTCAAGTGGATCATAGATCTGAATGTAAGAGCAAAAATTATAAAAATTTTAGAAAACACAAGAGTAAATTTTCATAATCTTGGGTTAGGCACAGAGTTCACTACAGGTACACTACATAAATACTGATAAATTGGACTTGAATAAAATTTAAAACTTTTGTATATCAAAAGACATGATTAGAAGGATAAGCCACAGTCTGGGAAAAAACATTTGCAAATTATAAATCTCATGAAGTACTTCAGTGCACCTATGTAATAAACTTTTTCCCTTTTTTTTTTTGAGACAGCCTTGCTCTGTTGTCCAGGCTGGAGATTAGTGGTATGATTTCAGCTCACTGCAACCTCTGCCTCCAAGGTTCAAGTGATTCTCCTGCCTCAGCCTCCCAAGTAGCTGGAGCTACAGGCATGCACCACCACGCCTGGCTAATTTTTTTTGTATTTTTAGTAGAGAAAGGGTTTTGCCATGTTGACCAGGCTGGTCTCGAACTCCTGACCTCAAGTAATCTGCCCGCCTCAGACTCCCAAAGTGCTGGGGATTACAGGTGTGAGCCACTGCACCCAGCCTATGTAATAAACTCTCAAAACTCAGAAACAAGCAACATAATTTAAACATGGGCAAGAGATCTGAATAGATATCTCATCAAAAGAAGACATACAAAGGACCGATAAGGACATGAAAAGATACCCAGCATTAATTAGGGAAATGTAAATTAAAACCACAGTGAGATGCCACTTCACACCCACTAGAACGCTGTCACTGAAAATATAGGAAAATAAAGTTGGAGAGCTTGTGTTTTCTGACTTCAAAACTTACACTGCAAAGCAACAGTAGCCAAGAAGGTGGAAAAACGAATTCTCATACATTGATAACGGGAATGTAAAATGGGGGAGCCACTGTTTGGCATGATCTTAATTAAGCAGACTTGCTGCAAGACGCAGCAGCTGCCCTCCTAGTTGGAGGAAAAGCGAACGTCCACTCAAAGACTTGGTGTAAGTTCCCTGGAACCTTGGTCAACACGAGGAAACAATCCAGGTGTCTGCCAACAGGTGAATGAACAAGGGACGCCTGCCACATCCATATGGTGGGTGCTTCTGTGCAGGATCAGCCCAGAAGCACCTGCTGAGGGAAGGAAGTGTGGCTGTGTGGTAGGCAGTGTCCAGAAAAGGCAAATTTGTAAAAACAGAGTGATGACAGTGGCTAAGGCTGGAAATGGGACTGACTGCAGATGGACGTGGGATCCCTTTCAGGAGGTGGAAATGTTCGAGAGTGGTGACAATGTTACAACTCTTCAATTTTACTAAAAACCATTTAATTCTGTGCTTAAAATGAATGAAATTTAGGGTATGCAAAGTTTACCTAAATAAAGCTGATGGGTTTCTTAGAATAGGCCAGGCACGGTGGCTCATGCCTGTAATCCCAGCACTTTGGGAGTCCAAGGTGGGTAGATCACTTGAGGTCAGGAGTTCAAGACCAGCCTGGCCAACATGAAACCTTGTCTCTACTAAAAATACAAAAATTAGCCGGGCGTGGTGGCGGGAGCCTGTAATCCCAGCTACTCAGGAGGTTGAGGCAGGAGAATCACTTGAACCCGGGAGACGGAGGTTGCGTTGAGCCGAGAATGCACCACTGCACTGCAGCCTGGTGACAGAGTGAGACTGTCTCCACAACAAAAAATAATCAAGTGCTTCAGTGCAGTAACTGAAGTGTGTAGGGAGACCCTGGGCTGGATGGCATGCCTGCTGGCAGAGGGGGCACCACCCAGGACCCCGGGTGAGGTGAACCCGTCTTGTTGAATTCCCAAGTTGGGAGAGGTTTCAGTTGTTGGTGTGTTTTGTCAGGTTAGTAATCCGAAATCATCAAATTGCTAATGTACAAAGGTATGGTACTTACCAAATGTCCATTTTTATTCTTTTTGAAGTTAAGGTCTAAAGAACAGCTCAGGTTCCCAACATTCTCAGAGAATAATGTCTTCAGAATAAGCAGCCTGCTCTTAAGTAGGTTTGTCTTGTCCATAGCAGAATTTATTGCCGGTGGCAAAAATCAATCTTGGCTGATACAGCAATTAACCACCATTTGTCGTATTGAGTGAGATAAGGGCAAGTAGGAAATCATGAGTTGGGTTTTCTATTTGTTTCTGCTGTCAAGATTTGTTTTTTCTTAATGTTGACTTCTTATTTATGGGGATGAGGAGGGAGGTGAAACTATATTTCGTTTTCACAAGCATATTTCAAATTCTGTAGCCAGGAATTCACATTGGGTACCCAAGCTCGTTTGTCTGCTGGCAGTTCTGACAGAGCAAATCATTAATGCTGATGTGTATTTTTGAGGAATCCACTTCCAGGGACACTTAGAAATGGTTAAAATGACTTTGGGCGTCCAAGGCAGGAGGATTGCTTAAACCTAGGAGTTCAAGACCAGCCTGGGCAACATAGTGAGACCCCATCTCCACAGAAAAGTTTTAAATTAGCCCATCATAGTGGCACGTGCCCGTAGCCCCAGATACTTGGGAAGTGGGAGGATCACTGAAGCCCATGAGGTCAGGGCTGCAGTGAGCTGCGATCACACCACTGCACTCTAGCCTGGGTGACAAAGGAAGACTCTGTCTCAGAAAAGAAGAAAAGAAGTGGTGAATATGGTAAATTTTATGTTACATATGTTTTACCACAATAAAATTTTTAAAACTAAGACTAAATGGCCAATTTACAGCAGAGTAATAATTCGAGGCCTCATATTCACCCTTTATGTGCCTAACCCTGTTCTCCAGGGATTCAACCCCTGAAAAGGTCACTATTTGCTATAAATCATCCCTCGGTGTCCACGGAGGAGATGGGTTCCGGGACCCCGTAGGTACCAAAAAGCGAGGATGCTGAAGTCCCTGACATAAAATGGCATTGTATGTGCACATCACCTGTGCACTTCCTCTCTCATGATTTAAATAATTTCTGGATTACTTGTAATACCTAAGACAATGTAAATGCTATGTAAATAGTTGTACTGTGTTGTCTATTCCATAGTGACAAGAAAATCTACGAGTTAGGTATAGACGCAGATTTTTTCATGAACATCTTTAATTCATGGTTGAAGCCAGGGGTGAGGAATCCACAGACACAGAGGGCTCTGTGTCCTTTTGAAAAGAATAAATCAAGCTTTGGAAAAGAGAATGAGGAAAGAAATGGAAAATTGCCCAAAAACGCTTTTGTCACATTTGCCAAAGAGTAGTTTTTCATACTAAGGGTCCTGTTTGAAATAAATTTTGTTAGCCAACTTAATTTCCTTACATTTATTTAGTTGGATTCTCTTATAAACAATTATGAAAATTTCTAAATGCGATTGGCCACATTAGAGAACTGGCTTTAGTATTATAGCATAGTAGTTAATAAGGCCTAACTCGTTAATCATAGTGCTATTTCACTGGTAAAATTTTGTGTAGGCCTCTTGTGGTGGCTCATGCCTGTCATCCTAGCACTTTGGGAGGCCAAGACAGGAGGAGCGCTTGAATCCAGGAGTTTGAGACCAGCCTGGGCAACATGACGAAACCCTGTCTCTACCAAAAAAACAAAAAAAACTAGCCAGGCATAGTGTTGTGCACCTGTAGCCCCAGCTACTCGGGGGCTGAGGTGGGACGATGGCCTCAGCTTGGAATGCGGAGGTTACAGTGAGCCCAGATCACACCACCACACTCCAGTCTGGGTGACAGAGTGAGACCCTGTCTCAAAAAAAAAAAAAAGGTGTAGGTTGGGCATGGTGGCTCATGCCTGTAATCCCAACACTTTGGGAGGCCCAGGCACGTCTTACATGGCCACAACAGGAACAAGAGAGGATTGCTTGAGCCCAGAAGTTCAAGACGAGCCTGGACAACATAGACCCTACCACTGAAAAAAAAAAAAAAAACAGCATGGTGGTGTGCACCTGTGGTCCTGCCGACTCGGGAGAGGCAGGAGGATTGCTGGAGCCCAGGAGTTTGAGGTGACAGTGAGCTATGATTATACCACCGTACTCTAGCCTGGGCAACAGAACGTTCTTATTCATTTTTAAATCTTAGAACGTGATTTATCTGGGATATGTCATTTTAATGTATGGCATCTATTAATGTGAATTCATAGTAGTAAACATTAAAAATGTATTTTTGACAAGTTTATTAAATCCACACTTACCCATCAATTGATGATAAATTAAAATATGTAACCTATCACTGCTTCATTTCTCTATTCTCTCATATGAAGGTAAAATTAAAGAATGGTTATATTTTCTCTCTTTCTTCTGTTTGGTGATTACCATAATTGTCTTTTTTTCACCCTGGCTGTCAGTTTTCTAAACCAGGTATAGGCCTACTCTTTCTTAAATTGCTGTTTGGTAAATATTTTAGGTTCTGTGGTCTCTGTACTATTATTCAGCTCAAAGCTGCTAGAGACAATATTTAAACAAATGAGTGGTGGTGGCTGGCCCTGTTCCAATAAAACTTTATTTACAAAAACAGGAAGTGTCTGTGGTTTGCCAGCTCCTGTTCTGAAGCTAGACTTTTTTTTTTTTTTTTGGTCCAAAATTTGATCCCTGTGTTTTCTACTAAGAAAGAGGATCCACTTTGCTGATGTCGCAGGTCTGAGAGACGTCACAGTTCTGAGAGATGTCAGAGCATCACAGCATTTAGTAGTCTTAAATGTGTGTTCAAAGTGGTAGTAACTGCCTCATGATTCTGTAGTAAATACTTGCTTTTCAGAAGGCTTTCATGTGAACATGGTTGCAGTTTGCAGCATTGGTTTTACTGTCCCCTTCTACAGACGGCAGCACAGGCTGTTCCAAGTCCTCCTTTTCCTTGGAGTCAGTGCTGCCCTGAGCCCTCCAGCCTTGCTGAGCTCCCGCCCTGACAGCCTCTTCTTTCTCTGCAGTGTGTATTCTGGGCACCAGTCCATCCTGATCCCACCCTCCGAGCTTGAAACCAACCCCGCCTTGTGGCTTCTCGCCGTGAGTCAGTACAAAGTCCGAGACACGTTTTGCTCCTACTCCGTGATGGAGCTGTGCACCAAGGGGCTGGGCTCGCAAACAGAGTCCCTTAAGGTAAGCAGCTCCCTTGGCAGCTCAGCGCCTTGCGAGCCCACAGGGACTCGTTTCTAAGAAGGCACGTCTGTGATTGGGTGAAGTTAAAACAGTCCTCCAAAAAAAAGCCTGAGTTTAGTCTAACGTCACCTGAAGCTTGCAAACTGCCTTTATATGAAAATGTTTTTAACGTGAATATTTCCCCACGACCACAGAGAGTAACAAACCAGAATGTAAAATATTTTCAATGCCTATCATTCCTCTGGGTCTACTTGAAAGATCCTAAATTTGATTTTTTTGTTGGGTGGATTCAGTGTTCTGAAGTGTTCGGTGTTCAGAAGCTCTGAGGTGATGTTAACTTGTTCTGATACTGGTATTTAAGAAGGTAGGTTTGAATTTAGCCACTCACTTTTGTTTTTCCTGGAGACCCTGATTTGTGGGTCTGGACCCTAAGCTCAATTCATTTTACGATTAAGTTAACAGTGTTGTGTTTTATTTTTAAGTAACTGCCATTATGTAAGAATAATGGTATTTCCCTCCATTTAAACCAAGGATGTTTTGATAGGTATATCTTCATGGTAAATTAAGTAGTACTTAGCTACAAGTAACTAGGAGGGAATAATCATATGACCAGTTTTGATTAAATTTCAACCGACTTTGTACTGTTTGGATGTGTGTCTGTCTTCGTATATACATGGATTGTGTTTGTGTTTGTGGCATCCGCACACAGATCAGTAGTGCAACATTTATCTGTCCTGCATTGTCTTCCTAATGCATAAAGCTTGAACAGGAAAGCAAAATGCAAGATAATGTTATATAAGTAAGTGTGCAATCATTTTGAGTTTTATATTTATATAGGAAAAAGTTACACAGCATTATTCATGTTTATCTATATTGTATTAAAAAGTGAGTACATTTTCATGACCTTCCTGTTGGCACATACATAAATAGCCAGAATAAATGATGACGTAGTTGAGGGTCACTACGTATTCATTTCATCCTTACAATAGCTCTCTGAAATAGGAGCCGTCATTGTCTCCATTTTAAAGCTGAGGAAACTTACATCACAGGGAAATTAAGCGACTTCTCCAGGTTCTTAGGTTGAACGAACCTGGAGCCAAATTTATAATCTTTGGCTTCAGGCCTGCTATTGCAGCTGCATGTGCTTTACCTCTCAGACATGCGCACGTGTGAATACGTAATTTGTATTCCCCAGACTTGAGTTTTTCCTGTTTAGCTCTGTGTGTGCAGTTGTGTCTATATGCTCAGCACGAATGTTGAAGTCAGCTAGAGCTGTGTGTCCTCCTTGCCCAGGACCCTTGTCAGTTGTCCGTGTGCTGAGGCTGCCTGGAAAGGGCTCGAAGGACCTGATGGCTGGGGTTTTGGTGGCCGCCCTCTTAGCAGCTCTGGCTTCCACTCCAAGACAGTCATTCACGGTTCGCCTTCACATTCACAAGCCGTTCCTATCACTCCCTTGTTTTCCCTCTTGGCCCGGGCAGTGCCACAGAATGAGCTGTGCTTAACTCCTTGAAATCCTTGTATGACTTTTGCTGTTGTGCTCAGCTGACTGAATTTGGTGTGGAAACTGAGATGTTCTTAATCTTATGCTTACTGTAGAAACAGACACGCTGAGAGTGAGAATAAATTCTTGGTGTAATGGGGCATAAATGGAGCACTGTCTATGAAGTCTAAAAATTTTAATATATATTCCTATATATTAAAATGCAGGTTTTCAGGCTGGGTGTGGTGGTACATGCCTGTAGTCCCAGCTACTTGGGAGACCACAAGGTGGGATGGTCACTTGAGCCCAGGAGTTCAGCTCCCCTGGGCAGCATAGCAAGACCCCATCTCTTTAAAATATGTAGATTTTCCCCATTCCTCTCCAGTGTGTGTTCTGGTACCTCCATGCCCAGAAGAATCTATCAAATGCCTCTCCTTTCCCGAACTGCCTTTCATCGTCTCATCCAGGAAGTTGCTTTTCCTCAGCCTGTCTCCTCCTCACAGTTCTTGCTGTGGCTGCAGGCGGCTGTGTGTTCTTCACCGTTTGAATAGCTGTGTGAGTGCTTTTTCACCACCGCTGGGCTTGTTACATTAACAAGGTGGACACAGGCGGCCCTGGAAAGGCATCGCCGTGTTGAGTTTTCCAGTGTTTATGTGGGGATCCGAGGGAAGGCGTCTCCGGCTCACTCCAAGCTCGGCCGGCCCGGGGGGCTGACTTGGTTTCTCTGTCGTTATCTCCAGGCGCGAGGGCTGGACTTGTCCCGAGTGAGGACCTGCGTGGTCGTGGCGGAAGAGCGGCCGCGGATCGCGCTCACACAGTCGTTCTCAAAGCTGTTTAAGGACCTGGGCCTTCACCCGCGGGCCGTCAGCACCTCGTTCGGTTGCAGGGTGAACCTGGCGATTTGCTTGCAGGTGAGATTCCCGAGCTGGAAGCTCCCAGGGTGGGCGCGGCCGACTGGCTCCAGGCGTCTCCCTGGGCTAATGCTCAGCTACCTTCAGAAGAGATCTCTCAGTCACACGCACGCGGTTGGTGCAGATCTCTGTGTTTTTACACTACAGTCTGCGTTCGTATCCATATTCATAACAAGCATTCATAGCACTTACTGTGTCCTGGAACATTTTAACTTTTGTGACAGGAGGAGCAGTTTGTCCAGACCTCTGCTGTGGGACTTTTTAAAGATTAGATACTAGACATATCAAGAAACCAGTCCCTCGAAGTACTTAGTCTTGTGTGCAGACGATCGCTGTAGGAAGAACTTAATTACACCGAGCAGGTTCTGGGATTTGCTGCTGCAGCGGCAGTGTAGAAACAGCAAAGCTGCACTTGTGCGAAGCGGGCGTACCTGAAGGGGCTCTGGCAAGACAGCCTTGCATTAACAGTGGCTGACAAGCCCCAGGCAGAGCTGCAGATCTGGTTCCTGGAAAGTAAGGGCTCCCCTCTCAGCAGGTGCTGGTGAGGCACATGGTTGGCGGGTGTCACCTCCACCTCCCTCTCTGCCCACCGGCTGTCCTACTTGTGGTCCCAGAGTGATTGCTTAAGGTTGCTGGCTGGGTGAGCCTCTGAAGGCTCCGTCTGCCCTTTTCACGCCTGTCTAGGTGCTTGGAGTTAGCCACTAGGTCAGAGGAGGGAACCTCCTCTCTGCCCAGGATCATTTCAGAAAAAGCTGCAGAAAGGTTTTCTTGATTTTCTTTTTTCTTTTTCTTTTTTGAGACAAGGTATCACTCTGTCACCCAGGCTGGAGTGCCGTGGCATAATCACGCATAATCGCGGCTCACTGCAGCCTGTACCCCCCGCCCCCGCCCCCGCCCCCAGGCAGGCTCAAGCAACCCTCCCACCTCAGCCTCCCGAGTAGCTGGGACCGCAGGTGCCCACCACCACACCTGGCTAATTTTTGTATTTTTTGTAGAGACAGGGTTTCACCATGTTGCCCAGGCTGGTCTTAATCTCGTCAACTTAATGATCTATCTGGCTTGGCCTCCCAAAGTGCTGGGATTACAGACATGAGTCACCGCGCCTGGCCTTTTTTTTTTTATTTTCATACATGGGATGTTCCTTGCTTCTGTCTTCCTTCTCTTTTAATTATTACAATAGCTTCATTTTTAAGAAATTATAAATTACCAAATTTCTCTCAAGAGTCAGGTAAACCTTGTCCTGTGATTACAATTAATACCCTTTTCTAAGAGGACATCTGAAGAATTAGATTTATCTCACCAACCTAGTTCTTAAAATATTGAAGTTTTCTCTCTCTATTCACCTTTTTCTGTTCCTCATAAATGTTTATCACCATCGATCCCATTAGGAGAAACAGGAAATGCAGAAGTCTGCTTCTTAAATCAGTTCAGCAATAGTGTGATGTCCCACTTGTCTCTGCCCACCAGTGACAGGGACCCCCGGGCAAGAGCGAATCAGTGATTTGTGAGAGACGGGCACTAGCCACGGCGAGGCTGCTGCTTCTGGCTTTGTCTCTTAAAATGTCGGGGTGGGGCCGAAGGGAGACGAGCAGAGAGTAACACTTAGCCCTGCTCCCTCCAACAGGTGACAGAGTTCAACCTGTGTTGCAAAATTGGCCTCTTGTAGAGTACGTACATTTATTTTTTTCTTTACTTTTTCATTTATTATTTATTTCTATCCACCTGGATCCAAAATGGTTTTTGTTTTGTTTTGTTTTGTTTTGTTTTTGTTTTTGTTTTTGTTTTTGTTTTGAGACGGAGTCTCGCTCTGTAGCCCAGGCTGGAGTGCAGTGGTGCGATCTCGGCTCACTGCAAGCTCCACCTCCCGGGTTCACGCCATTCTCCTGCCTCAGCTTCCCCAGCAGCTGGGACTACAGGCGTCCACCACCAGGACTGGCTAATTTTTTGTATTTTTAGTAGAGATGGGGTTTTGCCATGTTAGTGAGGATGGTCTCGATCTCCTGACCTCATGATCCGCCCACCTTGGCCTCCCAAAGTGCTGGGATTACAGGCGTGAGCCACCGCGCCCGGCCTCAAAATGTTTTAAGATGGTTTACAGGGAAGGAGTACGCTCAGTGGGAGAAGATAAAATACACTAAAAACGAACCAAAACATGGAGGTGAAAGAGAAAAATTGCAGGAAAGTGACAGCCTGAAGAACAACTGGCATGCTGGTGTTTCCGCGAGGCTCTGAAGTGTGCCACCATCCTTACCTCAGCACCGGGGCGGGGCCGGACACGTGCTGGATGTTGAATGAATGTGCCCTGTGAGAGTGCTGAGCCCAGTTCTGTATTCTTAATGGGAAATAGCAATATGTTCTTGTACAGAAGACAAGTTCATCAGTATGACTGCTGAGTCAAAATTCAGTATTGCTAATCATGGGTCATGGCACTATTTTGCAGTCTTGGCGCATCTTTTAAGCATTTTTGTCTATGTTCAGTTTTCTACTTGACCTATTCATAACTCCTTTCGGTCAGCATTTCCTTATCTGAATAGTATTGGAAAATAGTTGGAAGTATTCAAGTGTCTACTAGCAGAGAGAAATTAAATTTATGTACAAAGCAATGCAGGCTCACCCTCCCCTTGCCCGAAGCTTTGAGGGCAGGTGCGCTTCAGAATTAGGTTTCTGGCTTTGTGAGAGGTGACGTGGCACAGATGCCATGCATGATGCCACAGTTCAGTATCACATGTGCCAGTGTTCCTGCAGCAGGGAAGGGCAGGAGACCCAGACTTAAAGGGGCTCGTGTCAGCTTAGGTCAAATTTTACTACAGAGAAACTTAAGACAAAGTTTGTGCCATCATCAAACATTTCTCATAGTGAGATGGACAGTAGGCATGTAGGTAATGTTTTCAGGAAGCGACTCGTTCTTAGTAAGTGAGCAGTGAGAGGCTAGAGCGCATGGGCATGGGGGGGCATTCTGGGGGAGGGCGGTCAGGAACACTTCCGCGGAGCACATCAGAAGGGCGGAGCCGTGCAAAAGACCAGTGAAGGCAACCGTAAGTGAAAAGGCTTCAGGCAGAGCTGGTCTTTGGAAACACTCATTTTCTGGAATTTTTGCAAAATTAAAAAAACATGTTGGTGATAGCAAACAAGCAGAGCGGGAGAAGCCCAGAATCCAGAGGCAGAAACCACCTCTCGCTGCCTGGCTCTCCACAGAGCCCAGCACACAGGACATGCCTGATATAGTAAATGTACACTGAGTGCTTACGAGTGGTAGTAAGGAAAGCCTGAAATGTTTCTGAATTTTGTGTACACTGAATTTATTTTTCTTTATACAAGAATATTTTAGAAAACAAAATCAGAAAATATACTTTAGCTTATAAATAACTCATAAACCCATCTACCCTGAGATAATCACAATTAATCGTTTGATGTGAAAAATAAAAAACACAAAAAATTAAGATACTCCCAAAATTCCAAACCTTGTACCTAAATATTTAAAGATGTTGAAAAATGTAGTTTTGAGTTTGAAGCAACAGCATTGTGAATGAGTGTGGAAGCCGGGGGGTGTCTGCTCTCAGACCAACTGCATTCGAACAGCGCTGGTTTCCCGACTGCAGCCCCGGCGCCCCTGACGGACTGCGTTCTAACAGCACTGGTTTCTCCTGGCTGCTTCGCTGGAGCCCCCACAGGCCTTCCCTGACTGTGTGCTCTGCTGGAGGAAGCCTGATGGAGCGAGGAAAGAGCTTTGTCTCCAGGAGATAGGGAGCAGACTCAGCAAAGAACATTGTCCCAAAGAGAAAGGGAGCCTCACCCGGGCGCAACAGGGCTCAGGAGGTGTCAGGGTCATCACTGTCAGAGGGGGTCCTGGTCTTTAGGGAAGGCTGAGCTGCGCAGTTCCTGAGTATTATTACTGCAGGATTTAAAGGCCTTTCTGGTGCTACTGAGCAGTGCTGCATCCTCAAGGGGGAAGCCGCGTGCAGTTTTACCAGTGCTGACTTGGCACCTGGACAGCCACTTTTTAAAACGTACCCGACACACGAAACGTTACAGGTGTACAGAGACACACTGGGCGTTTGTTTTTACTTTGCAAAAATCAGCTCCATCAGTGGCGCTCTGGTCCTACCACCATCCAGCCCCAAGCATCTGCCTCCCCTTCGTGCAGTTTTTCCTAAGCCCCTTTCTCATGCAGTCTTTCCTGCTTCTGCTTCATAACCCGGACACTGTGCTCGGCCTGGATGGACTCTCCTCTGCCCTTGTCCTGCTTCTCCGCCCGGGTCCCCTCCGTGGGGCCTTCTCGAACTCTGTCAGCTGCAATGCTCTCTTTCCTCTGAATTACCAGCGTACTTTGTTCTTCCTCCTTTGCATTTTCCACCTGCTTTATAGTTATTTATCAACATATGCATGTCTCTTCTGCTCTGTGAGTAGCTGTGTTACAGAACACAGTTTTTTCTTTGTTGTTGTAGTTATTGTTTGTAGAGACAGGGTCTCACCGTGTTGCCTAGGCTGGTCTTGAACTCCTGGCCTCAAGTGACCCTCCCACCTCAGCCTCCTAAAGCACTGGGATTACAGGCGTAAGCTACCACAATCAACCAAGAGCACAGTTTTACAAAAGAATCTCCCTCCCTGAGTGTCCAGTGCCATCTCACATCATCACAGTCACTTCTTAAGGTTGTATACATTTTGTGAAAGCACCGATACTTGATTCTGGGTTTGTTTGTTTGTTTGTTTTGGGAGACGGAATCTTGCTCTTGTCACTCAGGCTGGAGTGCAATGGCATGATCTCAGCTCACTGCAACCTCTGCCTCTTGGGTTCAAGCAATTCTTCTGCCTCAGCCTCCCAAGTAGCTGGGATTATAGGCACCTTCCACCTCGCCCAGCTAATTTTTGTATTTTTAGTAGACACGGGGTTTTGCCATGTTGGCCAGGCTGGTCTCAAACTCCTGACTTCGTGATCCTCCTGCCTCGGCCTCCCAAAGTTGATTCTTTTAACTGCCAATCTGTGTGTGTAATAAATACAA